AAAAATGCAGTAAGTGATAGCACTATCGTGCAACCCCACGTCCCAGGTAGACTTCTAGCAGCCCTAACCATCAGGAACACAGCTGTGAACCAGTATGTAGTTGCAAGAAAACCCCATTCACTTAGCTCCTAAGGAGATATAAGGCATTAGTCTTCAGACTAATTCGGAGCAATTAAGATAAGATGAGGGAAAGATAAAAAATGTAGGTTTTCCTGGAGCAGAAACTCTTTGGGGGATTGTTCATTGGTTAAAGGGTTGTGGAATGGGGAGAGCGACATGAATGAAAAAAACTAATAAGCTACTTCAGAACAATGGTCTTTTTACTCCCCCATCCCCAATCCCCTACCTCGTCACACAGTAAATGCTGAGCAAAGTAGATTAACTCCTTTTGCTCAATCAGATCAGACGTGGGTTTTCAGACAATTACTTCTCACATCTGAAACAAGGAATGTGCTGATTCCCGATGACCCAACCGTTTCTCAGGCTGGAATCTTTCCTGTGTAAGTTTGGTGCTTAGGAAGGTGATTCACTTTTTGGCCAGAAGCTCATTCATTTAAAACCAAGCATTTTCCTACTGCCTGATGCCATTTCTTACTATTGCATCTTCCCTAACTCTGGCCTCAGTCTGGAAACTTCAGCCAGGTCTCCAGGGCCACAGAATGATGCCAGCCTGACACTGAGAATTTGCACAGAGAATCCTTTTAAGAAATGTGGTCTTTAAATCCACAGTCAATGAATTAAACTGGCATTTAACGATAAACAACTGCAGTATTGTTAATTCGAGCCATTTTCATGAAAGAAAACAAAACTCCTTTATAAATGGAACATACACTTAAGGAAAATCCATTTTTACATTTGTCTCTATAACATTTTAAGCGCATTACATTACAAAATTCCAAGAGACCATTTTAAAGACTTCAATGTTTACTCTTTTTTTTTCCAAGTCAGTGAGTAAAAAAAATGAATTAATTACTGCTTTGAGTCCTTAAGGATATATATTCTGTCTCTGGCCTTAGAAAGACAAGACAAAGTGAGATCTTTAAATGAACTGCATGAGAACAACAACAGGGTGCCGGCTCCAGAGTCTGTGTTTATATTTTATGACACTTGACACAACTTTAAAGCCTACCTCCTCCTCTTTCCTTCTCATCTTCATCTTCTTTCAGCAGCTTGCCAACGGAATTATACCACTTGAATTGTGGGTCAGGGATGCCATAAACACTACAATTAATCAAGGCACTGTTCCCTTCCTTGACTATGATATGGTCAGTCCTGGCAATGATTACGGGCACAGAGCCCAAGACCATGTCAGTGCCATTTAAAGTGCTGTTAGTCACACTCTTAGCAGTTGCTAGAGTGGATACTAAGATTAAAAAGGGCACAGAAGGTAGAAAGCACACAGTCAGATGGCTCTTTGATTGATCCATCTTCTTTGCTTGTTCTGTAAGGCAACAGAGAGATGGTTTGCCAATGGAATCTTCTATCAGACAACACACTGTTCAGAGCAGGCCATGGGACAAACCTGTCCTGGATCCATAGAGTTGGTACTTGATTAAGAACCTGTTAAAAACAAAACAAAACAAACCATACACACATAAATATTAGCGTTCATACTTTAAAAATACTATTTATAAAATGTTAGCAATCTAGCTAAAATACAAACCATCGGTTCAACAACCGAGGCAGGCGTCTTTCATTTGGCATTACAGGGTCTTTTTCCACCCCCTCACCTGTCTTCACTGAGGATGACCTGAGTGTTCACCTGAGGTGTTCCTTTACCTCTTCTCTTCCAGTAAATGTGACTTCCAGTCTATTTCAGTGGTCACTGGGCTCTGCCA